AGCGTCTTCTACAATTAGCAATACATGTATATAATAAAATACAAAACTCTCTGCCGAAATTTTTTTGTGGAAATCATTCGATCAAGTAAAAATGACTGCGTGACAAGACGAATCAACTATTTATACCCGATAAAAGAAACTGCCTTATTTTAGGAACAGTGCTATAACAGGACATTTGAAATTTTTAACAAGCAGATACATTAGAGACAGTGACTAGACTACATGTACGTAATCCGTATCAATCAAAGGTGTAAAAAAACTGAAAATCATATCTGTCGGAGACCTACCAAATTACCAAGTTTTATCATTACTATATTTATTACAATGCAAATACTTTAGTGATACATTTTCAGAGGAGAGGGCATACAAACAAGTATATTGCTTCCATGTGTGAATGCAGGTTGTACTTGGCATCTCAGTTCTCAGTTTCATACCGGTTGTATATCTGAATTTGTATATGGAACCATGCGTACAGCATGACAATTACATGCTATTCGTCAGTCTACAACACACATAACACGGTCAAACAATTTTGGGCACCGCTTTTGCAAGTTATTTAGTACAATAATGTTTTATTAAAATCTATTTCAATTTGTTTTCACCATTTTCCCTATTGGCAGTCGTTGTTACGTGCGTCACTAGGTAATTAGTACGGCATTGACCTTGTTGATTGTTACTGTACTTTGAGGATTTCTGTGGCCAGTGGCGGACGTAATTCATGATCAAACTCCTTCCACACTGACATCGCATCAAATATATTTGTGTACCGATTACATAACTCTTATGGACAGGGTGGGGTGGTAGTTCACCGGACGACACTGTGTATATTGGGCGGCTCCTTTGATATCTCCTCCAAACATACTTTTATTGAATGACCCCATTAAACGATGATACACATCTTGATGAATATATCAAGGCACTAATTCATCTTTCATAAACATTTGTTTGTCTTTGTGCTTAATATATCCACATATCAACGAACATTTGTAAAACATGTATCCACAAAAAAAATAAACATTTTCAGGCTAGGTGTTTGCCCACAGCAACACCTGCATAACTGTTTATTCACGCGTGGTGTGGTAGATCGTAATTGACCGACAGCAGGTATTGTAGAATCACTTGTAAATAACGCCGACACTGTAATTAGATACAACGTCCTAATGAGAATATGAGAATTATCATAAGAAGGCTGGGTTTTTTTCTGAACTGTTACCATTTTCATACCCCAAGTGGCAATGCAGTTAAAAGGTGCTTTAGTGTCAAAATATTCACTCACGTTTTCCTCAATCGCATTGAAACATAATTCTCCACTGGTCAGTTCGTCACCGCATGTAATTAAATAATTATTTCGAGATTTCGTTAGAATGTAATAGGTTTTTTTATTAAAATACGCGCACGCGTACCTGTATATTGCATACCTAGTGTCACGTAATTGCCCAGTGTGATGTATCAACGGGGCATAAAATGATAAATGAAATAGAAACTCACTGAACTTTAATGTTGTGGAAAATAATTCCAATGAATTGGAGTACACGCACATGGATTCGTATGATAAACTGTTAAAACGTTTTGAGAGGTTCATTTGCGAAACAAAAACATGAGTTTTGAGTAAAGGAAAATATTCTCGCCCATGGGCCAAACCTTTTTCTCGTCCATGGGCGAAATATTTCAATATCGCTATAAAATAGTTGAATTAAGTTAAAATGAGTTTAATTTTGTTACATTTTGTGTCATGATACTTGAATAAATACATTTAATGTTTAGTTTGCGAAAAAAACCATGAGTTTTGAGTAAAGGAACATATTCTCGCCCATGGGCCAAACCTTTTTCTCGCCCATGGGCGAAATATTTCAATATCGCTATAAAATGAGTTATATATGAGTTATGAGTTTCAATATCGTTATAAAATGAGTTATATTTTGTGTCATGATACTTGAATGAATACATTTAATGTATTTGCGAAACAAAAACATGAGTTTTAAGTAAAGGAATACACTTGCCCATGGGCGACATAGTGTAAATATTAAGTTTTTAAACATTTTTTTTTTCATTTTTTCTTCCTTGGTATGTTCCCATGAAAACAGCATGTTTATTTTGGAAATAACTTTGACCGATAGTGGGCAAAGACCGTACAGTTTCTGGACTTTTGGGTTTCCAGAATTAAAATGGGACGTGTTCGCAAACTGCAACGAAGGTAATTAGTTTGTTGTAAATTTTACTACAAACTAATTACCTTCGTTGCAGTTTGTGGACCCAGTCGGGTAATTCTATCATAACCATAACTGGAATGTATGGTCGTTGCTGGATATAATTTGAATATTGTTAAAAGAACCGTCTAAATCACCTCACTCGCTGTCTCACTATTACGAAATCACTCCTTAATGTATCTGCTAAAGCTAGACATATGCAATTTAGCAATCAATTGTAAGATATAGGAATACTTCTACATATATAAAATACGTTGAAACATAATTTAAACGTTTGAAAAGAAGTCTGTATTGTCGAACATATGCCATGGCCCACTTTTGAGAATAATGTTAAGTTACAGGAGCGTGTAGCAATCCTTCTGTTACCAAACGGAAGTACATGAGTATAATAACAAAAAGAACAGGCTTTGGGGTGATTGCATGAATGGGGTGTCAGTTTGTAAGGTTGAAAGAGAATGACATCCGATACTGGAATGTGTAATTAATTACTCGGGAGTGACAATATGTACATATCGTTTGCTCACGTGCATTTTCTTTCTCCAATCGGCCTGTTTATTTAGGTAATTTATGATTACTGGTTTTAACGCGTATGTCTCCCGTTGGAATCGATAGCGGCCTGACATATCCTGCCCATGGAAGAGACGAGTATGCAAATCACATCCTTGGGAATGGTAGCCCACTCGACCTGCAACGCTTAAGCCATCTGCTGCAATGTCTGGGGTTGTGGTTGACGTCTATCCTATTCATTCCACATGTGCTCTATCAGGTTCAAATCCAGGGATCTGGAGGGCCAGGGGAAAACATCCACGTTGTTGTTGTGGAGACGGGCTCTTGTGATCCGTGCTGTATGCGGCCGAGTGTTGCCCTGCTGGAATACACCGTTGCCGTAGGGAGGACTTGTGGTAGGAGGATTTTGTTGATGTATCGTTGAGCCGTAAGATTGCCCTGGATATGGACCAAACCTGTCCCCTCATGATGAGAGATAGCCGCCCACATCCTAACACTACCTCCACCAAACCTGTCTACTTCCTGTACGCAGTTTCCGGCGTAACGTTCTCCCCGACGTTTGTAGACCCGTGCTCTTCCATCCCCTCGACGGAGAAGAAATCTTGATTCGTCCTGTCGTCCTGACGACACCAATGCAGTTGTTGTTGACGCTGTTGTCGACTCAATATGACGCCATGACGTCTTGCTCGTAGACCTGTTGCTCTTAAACGGTTTCGTACGGTCTGGAGATTCTGCGCAGTCTGGATATTTGGGATGCGGTTGATGTGGCTGCGGTCGTCGTTTCACGTAGGATTCGTAGTCGGATGTAGCAATCTTGGGCGGGGTAGGTTACTCTTGGTCGTCCCGACCTTGGCCGATCGACCGCCTCCGTGGCCTAGTGGTAGAGCGTCCGTCCGGAGAGCGGAAGGACCGGGGTTCGATCCCCGGCCGCGTCATACCAAAAGACGTTTAAAGATGGTACTTATTGTTACCCTGTCTGGCGCTCGGCATTAAGGGGCTAAAACAAGGGACTGGTCGGCTCGATTTATAGTGCTAGCCCACTGAGATACCATGCCGCAGTTTAACATGAATACCCCACTCAGACACAGTATACTGACTCCGAGCCGACCAGTCCTTGCTTTAGCCCCTCAATGCCGAGCGCCAGACAGGGTAACCACAAGTACCATCTTTTAACGTCTTTTGGTATGACGCGGCCGGGGATCGAACCCCGGACCTTCCGCTCTCCGGGCGACCACTCTACCACTAGACCACGGAGGCGGTCACTGCCGAGATGAATTAGACGGAGACAGTGTGTGTTCCCACCACCACATGTCGTTACTGCTGTTAAATACTCCACACAAAACGCATATTGATATGAATAATTCAAAGCAGTGTAGTTCTATCGCATGTCAAAGTCAGCAGTATCCAAACTCGCAACTTATTTGCCACTGTGCCCGAAGGATAAGTGACCTATCAAATACGTTGGTGAAAGTTGATGTGTAAATAATGCTATGTTACTGCAATACGTGTGTTGAACGATGTCTTAAATATAAACAGGTAAATGGAGTTAAATGTATGACCATTTGAATGAGTTAAGTCAATTAAATGGTGTATAGGAATCTTTTGTTAGCGTTACGCCTACAATGGTCTAAGCATTAGGTAACGATGGTCTTAGCATTAGGTCACGATGGTCTTAGCATTAGGTCACGATGGTCTTAGCATTAGGTCACGATGGTCTTAGCATTAGGTCACGATGGTCTTAGCATTAGGTCACGATGGTCTTAGCATTAGGTCACGATGGTCTTAGCTTTAGGTCACGATGGTCTTTGCATTAGGTCACGATGGTCTTAGCATTAGGTCACGATGGTCTTAGCATTAGGTCACGATGGTCTTTGCATTAGGTCACGATGGTCTTAGCATTAGGTCACGATGGTCTTAGCATTAGGTCACGATGGTCTTAGCATTAGGTCACGATGGTCTTAGCATTAGGTCACGATGGTCTTAGCATTAGGTCACGATGGTCTTAGCATTAGGTCACGATGGTCTTAACATCATGTCACCAATTCAGTAGGGCATGGTATCACAAAGTGTCACATCCGCATGTATTTTTATATCTCTCTTACGGATGCTATTTTAAAATGTATCATTATCAATTCTCGATTGCAGTAACGCACAGAATGAATAACTGTGCACCTTTTTGGTGGACAGAGCCAGATTATGTGAACCTATTATAAACACAATTTATGATGATTGTCATACTGAAATGATATCAAGATTTCACCACTAAGCCATCCATATTCTATAAAGGCACATACACAGTGGGCATCACCGGTGTTGAAGCTATGCCGAAGAGGATTGTGTTATTCCTCACCGCTGTGTTTGTGGGGACTGGACTCCTTGTCTTCACTACCTGGGAACAGCAGTTCATGACCATCCTGGACGCAGGCTTTTCTAACATCATTTATAACCTTTCTCTCCGCCAAAATGGTTCACAGACCGAGTGCAAAAACGTTTTGGACGAAATGGTGCGAGGAACGTGGACGCCAAGGAGGGTGACGTTTGAAGAAAGAGAGAAAGTTGAAAGATTTTTGATAACATCCAGAGGAAAATATTTCGTACCAACAACCTTGGCACGCCCCGATGGTGTTTGTGGAAATACAACTTTTGACTTTCTGAAAGGCCTACAACACCAGGCTCTGTGGTTCCGACCCCTGTGTGATCCGTTTGGTCCAACACCATGTTGCTATAACAACAGGTGCGTGTATAAGACAGTGAAGGAATGTATGTGTGAGAACTGTTTTGACATGCGCAGACCTATTAATGCTGAACTTGCTGATTGGAAACCATCCCGCCCCAAATGTCAGATCTCAATGTTGAACAAAGACGATGCGTGTGAACTAATTAAAGGGGCTACTATCTACTACATCGGGGACTCTTTCTTGAGGCAGATGTACACCGTGACTGTCAATATCCTCACTGGCAACTATAAGGACTCCATGCTAAAGTCTACAACACCAACAGGTTTGTTTATTTGTTTGTTAACTCCTGACCAACCCGATCACGTCAGTCGCCCTACCCCAAAAGTTATGTAAAGCAGCAATGTAACAGCTATTCTGCAAGTGTATAACTATCATGCCAAACAATGTACTTCAGTAGAGTATATAGCTTGAACAACATTGAATGATCTTGTTTCCGTTCTGTCGAATAAGTGATATAAACGTCACCTATGCTGGAGTCCACCAGTTTCATCATTAGCTCAGTAGCATATATCAATTATGCTGAGATATTAAAACTGCGCCATCACCACCTCGCACACACACGCACATACACTCACACACACAGACACACACACGCACGCACACAGGTACACTCTCACACACACACACACACACACACACACACACACACACACACACACACACACACACACACACACACACACACACACAGAGGTACACTCACACACACAAAACAAAACACACACACACACACATTAAAGTGTGCAGATTGTTTCCCCACTGCTGTTTGTGATTATAGTGTCTTGTTTCCCCACTCCTGTTTGTGATTATAGTGTGTTGTGTTCCCCACTGCTGTTTCTGATTGTTGTGTGATGTGTGTTTCCCTTCTAGTGTTTGTGATTATAGTGTCTTGTTTCCCCACTGCTGTTTGTGATTATAGTGTCTTGTTTCCCCACTGCTGTTTGTGATTATAGTGTGTTGTGTTCCCCACTGCCGTTTCTGATTATTGTGTGTTGTGTGTTTCCCTTCTAGTGTTTGTGATTATAGTGTCTTGTTTCCCCACTGCCGTTTGTGATTATAGTGTGTTGTGTTCCCCACTGCTGTTTGTGATTATAGTGTGTTGTGTTTCCCAACTGTTGTTTGTGATTATAGTGTGCTGTGTGTTTCCCCAATGCTGTTTGTGATTATAGTGTCTTGTTTCCCCACTGCTGTTTGTGATTATAGTGTCTTGTTTCCCAACTGCTGTTTGTGATTATAGTGTGTTGTGTTCCCCACTACTGTTTGTGATTATAGTGTGCTGTGTCTTTCCCCACTGCTGTATGTGATTATTGTGTGTTGTGTGTTTCCCTTCTAGTGTTTGTGATTATAGTGTGTTGTGTTCCCCACTGCTGTTTCTGATTATTGTGTGTTGTGTGTTTCCCTTCTAGTGTTTGTGATTATAGTGTCTTGTTTCCCCACTGCCGTTTGTGATTATAGTGTGTTGTGTTCCCCACTGCTGTTTGTGATTATAGTGTGTTGTGTTTCCCAACTGTTGTTTGTGATTATAGTGTGCTGTGTGTTTCCCCACTGCTGTTTGTGATTATAGTGTCTTGTTTCCCCACTGCTGTTTGTGATTATAGTGTCTTGTTTCCCAACTGCTGTTTGTGATTATAGTGTGTTGTGTTCCCCACTACTGTTTGTGATTATAGTGTGCTGTGTCTTTCCCCACTGCTGTATGTGATTATTGTGTGTTGTGTGTTTCCCTTCTAGTGTTTGTGATTATAGTGTCTTGTTTCCCCACTGCTGTTTGTGATTATAGTGTCTTGTTTCCCCACTGCCGTTTGTGATTATAGTGTGTTGTGTTCCCCACTGCTGTTTGTGATTATTGTGTGTTGTGTTTCCCAACTGTTGTTTGTGATTATAGTGTGCTGTGTGTTTCCCTTCTAGTGTTTGTGATTATAGTGTCTTGTTTCCCCACTGCTGTTTGTGATTATAGTGTCTTGTTTCCCCACTGCTGTTTGTGATTATAGTGTGTTGTGTTCCCCACTACTGTTTGTGATTATAGTGTGCTGTGTGTTTCCCACTGCTGTTTGTGACTATAGTGTGTTGTGTGTTTCCCCACTACTGTTTGTGATTATAGTGTGCTGTGTTTCCCCACTGCTGTATGTGACTATAGTGTGTTGTGTGTTTCCCCACTACTGTTTGTGATTATAGTGTGCTGTGTCTTTCCCCACTGCTGTATGTGATTATAGTGTACTGTGTGTTTCCCCACTGCTGTTTGTGAATATGGTGTGTTTCCCTACTACTGTTCGTGATTATAGTGTGCTGTGTTTCCCCACTACTGTTTGTAATGATAGTGTGCTGTATGTTCCCCACCTTGTTTGTGATTATGGTGTGCTTCCCCACAACTGTTTGTAATTATAGTGTGTTGTGCTCCCCACTACTGTTTGTAATTATAGTGTGTTGTGTTCCCCACTACTGTTTGTTATTATAGTGTGCTGTGTTTCCCCACTGCTGTATGTGATTATAGTGTGTTTCCCCACTACTGTTTGTAATTATAGTGTGCTGTGTTTCCCCACTGCTGTATGTGATTATAGTGTGTTTCCCCACTACTGTTTGTAATTATAGTGTGCTGTGTTTCCCCACTGCTGTATGTGATTATAGTGTGTCGTGTTTCCCCACAACTGTTTGTAATTATAGTGTGCTGTATGTTTCCAGGGTGGCGGGAGTACTGTTCAGGCTGGATGCAGCTTCTGTGCTACTCGTTTTTAAATTACAAAGTTCCCGTGTGTGGCGGCCAGACCAACGTCATCCATGTTGAACTCATCACACACGATCACGGCCCAAGATTACTCAGCTTACTGAAAAGTAAAACGAACCAGAAGTCTATTTTCTTTGTGGGCATTGGTATCCACGGGACCTATCAAGAACAGCTGGTCTGGAACAACTTTCTTTCTCCATCAATCAACTTTCTACACGAAAACGCAAGAAATAAGATAACATGGCCGAAACTGGTGTGGGTGTCCCCCCACGCTCCCGGAATACTGAAAACACCACGGGTTCCAGGCCAGAGTTACAGCAGCGTCGTCAGATATAACGCCTTCATCAACAGCCATGTCAGAGCAGCTGGGATACCAATACTAGACACCTTCAACATGACAGACGGCATCATGAGCTACGATGGGGCACACTACGGGTTCGGAATTAACATGATCAAATCTCAGATTGTGTTTAACTACCTTACACATCTGCGGGCACATGGCATATGGTGACTCAGCATGACAAAGTGTGAGTGTGTGCCGGCATGTGGCATGTGATGCATAACTAAGGAATAGTTATATATTGAGGGATGTCGTGGATGAGTTAGATAGTCCTATTTTCATTTTCATTGTATATTGAGTTAGTGAGTTGGGTTTAACAGCGCTTTTAACAGCGGTTCCAGTTATATCACGGCTTGTCAGCTAAATGTGGGAGGAAAGCCCAGAGTGATGCAGGTCTCAGACGTTTACAACTTCGGTGAAACCCACGAGCACGGGTATGGTGCTGACAAACCTTGAAATACAATTTGGGCGAACCGGGATTCGAACCCACAATCATAGGTTTCTGGCGTGCACAAGGGACGCAACTCTGCACAGCGAATCGCGGCGCCTTAGACGTCCGGGCACCCGTGCCCCCTTCATTGTATATGCTCATGAAGATTTTCACAGTGAATTTATTTTGGAAAATTATTATTATCATCTTTAAAATTGTTTGTACTGAGTCAAGACATAAGTCTGGGATTAAACAATGTGATTCTTTCATATACTAACATGATAAACAGATAAGATGGATAATAAAATGAATTTAACACCTCCTACAAAGCACTGTGATTTCTTTGAATATATAAAGATTGGCAAGCCTGCATAACCGTAGATGTGACATATATGCATTGTAATATCAAATGCAGATGACTCAGTTCTCTCTGACAAAAACGCAGCAGGTGCACAAGATTCCTTTTCTGAGTCCCGTCAGGGATTCGAACCCACACTGCAAGAGTGAGGCGCCTAATCGCCAGCACACAAAGTCAGCGATCTAACCCACTCAGCCACCGAGGATTCCACAAAAATCAAAGTACGACAACTGGGAGATCACGTACTTTGTGTACCCCTCTGACAAGTGTAAATTGGCACGGCTCCCATGGCCGAAAGCTATGAACATACAATGCCATGGGAGGCGTGCCGATTTATAATTGTCGGAATGGTGATACTTGTCATTGTGTGTTCATTTAAAATAGACTCTGCTAGAAAAACGCAAAAGTGAACTCTCAGTTTATAAGTGACAATGTAGTCCATGAATCTGACATCAACTCCAACGTACATCGTTTAGATCCAACTTTGATTTTATTAACTAAAGTTGCTGAAAGTGCTTTCTGTGTTACCTTTTACGGAGTTCACGTGGTAACATCGAGTGAAGCTCGACACATCTTCACCGTGTTCTGAACACATATGACTTATTGTAATCACTCTATATTTGCCAGACCCCTTTTCAGAGCAGGGCCCGATATTTTAGGAGGGACATGCAACGCTCAATGATCAATGCATTAACACGTTTGAGAAAGTGTAACCCAATAACTTTGAGATTTCGTCAGCTCGACTTTTGACCTTCTCATGGCTTCTATCAAACGAATTCCCTTGGTCCATGTGGTACAATTCCATTGTAGGATATCCACTTATTTCTATCATCTTTGCACAGAATCCAAGAGAAGGTAGAATACTTTCGACACATGCCTGTACACGTACATCTTCCCGAGGCAAAGGAGTAAATTGACTATAAAAGTCCAGTTTCCACCCTTGCCGAACTAGGCTGGTATTATGGAGTTACGTTTTGTCTGGACTAACGAGTCTATGCATAGTTCATTCAAAATCGCGCACCGAAATCCAAATCCGGTTCGTAAACTGTCGTGCAGATTTCGATCGATTGCAGAATTTGCAAAGCATGTGCATCGCCAATTCGTTGTCAGCAGATATTTTCCAAATCCTTTCATGTTTTAATCGAGGTGCTCACGTAATTTGATGCATTTCGCGATGTAAGACACGTTTTATCACAATATAGATCTTGATTATCGATCAGATCGTCCTGACTAGGCGCCACTATTTTGTGTGAAGCAAACGCAAGTGATACGAGAGGTGGAATCTGATTGGTCCATAGGAGAGGCTTAGAAGGGACATAATTGCTAATAGCCACTGGTGGCGCAACGATCGAGCCCAGTAATTCCAGCCTAGTTCGGCAAGAGTGGAAACTGGGCTTTTAAAGTTAGTTAACTCCCTTGCCTCGGGAAGACGGTACACGTATACATGCCTCACAAGCTGACTTGACTATAATATAACTTGATCAAAACATTTTCAAGGCAGGTTCCTCATCCAGTGAAGGTATATAGCAAGTTGACTGATAAATGCACTAACATTTCTTTGAGAATTTGTAACCACAAACTTTTTATTTTTGTGAGATTTTTCTGTCTCATAACCTTGACCTATGACAATTTGGATATTGGCAATTTTGAAAAAGTTTATCGGAGAATAGCCTCTAACGTTTATAATATGTCTGTAATGTAAACATATATACACATCGGTTAAATGCTGTGTTTATTGGCTTTCGTAACGCTTACAGAAATAAGTTGTGTTTTATATATTCATGTTTAATGTATTGAAACAGGCCTGTCTCCGTTCTTGAATACCCAATAGTGTCATCAAATGGTTATCAGATTCGCACTTGGCAAGTAGATAAGACGCAATATAGGCAGAAAAGGCCTCGAATCAACCTCTTGTCGAACCTATATAGGTACAGCCAGCCTTCTAGAAAATGTCCCATATCACAACGTCTCAAACGAGTTTACACAAAGGTAGATAACTGTAAATCGCTGCCAGTGTCTGCCGCTAAAATGTGGCCATGACAGGGCTCGGCATTTTACCAGTGCTTCAATCATTTGCTGCACTGACAATCACAAAAAAATAAACATACAACAGTTTCTACTGCCACATTACATTGTCTTTATTGACATTCGGGATGCACTATGGCAGAAATAAGTTTTTGAATACTACATTAGATAGATAATAGATTTGGAATAATAATGATTAAACTCAGTTCTAGATGAATGATTCTGCTCGTTGCCCATCTGTTGATACACTTGGTCTTTCCACCAGAGCATATGATGTGTCGGCAAACCTTCCTGCTGTCTGCAATGAAGCATGCATAACGCAGACAGAACACAGGAACATATATATTATTATGCTGGAGCCTAGAGTCGTTGCTATGAGCTAGCAGAAAGTTCCTCATACTGGGACAGTATGCATCAATTGCATGTTATTTATTTATGTTCCTGTGGTGATTATTATGCCACAAAAGACACATAAACAATCGAATATGGACCAGATGAACTACTTACTGAAGGACTCGCCTCGGATACGATTACACGTAACAGCGCCTTCATTAAATACGCATCTTACGAGTGAGTGAGTTGGGTTTAACGCCACTTTTAACAGTATTCCAGTTATATCACGGCGTGCCAGCTTAATGTGGGTGGAAAGCCCGAAGTGATGCAGGTCTCAGACGTTTACCACTTCGGTGAAACCCACGAGCACGGGTATGGTGCTGACAAATCTAGAAACATAATCGGGGTGAACCGGGATTCGAACCCACAATCATAGGTTTCTGGCGTGACCAAGGGACGCAACTCTGCACAGCGAATCGCGGCGCCTTAGACGACTGGACCACCCGTACCCCCGCATCTTACGACAGCAACAGGGTGTTGTTGACCTGTTCCACACAAGGTTTCAACAGTTGGTTCTTGACATTTCATTATCGTGGCCTTTACTCTTCCGGAAAGATTGCTTGGAACACATACTTGATACTATCGTCCACGTTGGTTGGTTTGGGGACGGGGTGTGATTTCAAACTTGACGTTAGTGGTTGGGGCTACGTTCCTGTTTGTTCCCAGATTTTGGAACATCGTGTCCAGTATATGTGAGGTGAGGTGAAATAGGGTTTAACGTCGCGTCCAAGATTATTGCACTTATATAGCGACGTGCATGTACGTGTGTGTGTTTGTGTGGCTGCTTGTACTAGTCCGGACCGATTTATAGTGCTAGCTCACTGAGATACCATGCCGCAGTTTAACATGAATATCCCACTCAGACACAGTATACTGACTCCGAGCCGACCAGTCCTTGTTTTATCCCCTTAATGCCGAGCGCCAGACAGGGTAACAACAAGTACCATCTTTTAAAGTCTTTTGGTATGACGCGCCCGGGAATCGAACCCCGGACCTTCCGCTCTCCGGGCGGACGCTCTACCACTAGACCACGGAGGCGGTCCCCAGTATATGTATTCACGTGTATGTACTTCGTTGGTTGAAGTTTACTTATCACAAATATACACAATAATCACAAGTGTTGTATGCTAAAGTCATTGTTCATTTAAAGAAACTTACCAATTAATAGCGAAACAATGTTCAAGCATATCGAATTACAATGTAACAGATCGAAAGAGCAGTATTTGCTTAGTTATAAAATGTCTCTCTCCGTGACATTTGAACAAAGTCTGCCGTCGGATGGTATTGCCATCTGGATTTGATCTGGTCCCCAGACACCCATGCTGCTCGTAAAGGCGACTTTTAAAATGGGTCGTGTGGTCAGTATCCATGACATTGCTGAACGTGTGTCAACGTACTCCAACCTCATGCATCGTTGCTCAGAAGATAAACTACTGGTTTGTCTGGTCCATACTCGATTATTTACAGACCGCCATCAAATATTTGAAATATGGTGTTGTTAACACATGATACTGACCATCTCATGTTCCTTTTTCGGTTCACTACACCAGAAGAAGTTTCTCACGTAGAGAGGGTTAACTGCCTCCTTGTTTCCACCTGCAATATCAACTTCAGTAGAAAAGTGTATCCACACCGACCTTTTGGTTTTTTTCTTACATGCATATGGTGTTAAATGGAATATGAATATGTTCTACGAACATATATAAAATGAAACATTGGTATAGGACTAGAATCATATTCAGCCTGAAACGGTGAGCACCATGTAGTATTTGGTAATATTGCCGTTTACCTGGGGCCAGACTGAGGACAACGCCCACCACCTGCACGATCAGGAATCCAAACACATAGTACAGAGTGTAGGAGAGACTGTAGAAGGCGTCGAGACCTGACCTGACAGGAAATTATACTTGGTTACCAGACTGGCAGATGGAAAAATTGGACAAGGGGTGTTAGGAACGTCATCCTTCTTATTAGCATAACAAATATATATTTTTATTTTCAAAACCATTATCATTAAGTCATCAAAAATAATCTTGTATATAATTTGAAATTGAATTTCACTTTCTTCTTGTTTGTCCTTTTCACGCAATTACCCGCGCAATGGTTATCGAAACATTCGTTTATATCTATCCAACGAAAAAAAGATTTTGTCAGATATTATCTTTGCAAAATGTCAGACATATTGAAGGGCTGGGAATGTAATGAAAAAGAAA